TATTTTAATAATATTTCAAATAAAGCTTTATATAAAATATGTATAAAATATTTATATAACATTTCAAAAAATGAATAATAATAAATATTTGTCATAAATATGCTATCTGAGTTGATGTCGATAGAATTAATAATAATACACTGCTGATGCCTCATCCATTGATTGCATATCTCCCTTTTTATTTTGTACTACCGCTGTTTTCATTTTTATTTATTGCGCATCAATAAAGTTATTATTAGTATTATTATAAATATTAACATGATGTGGATTTAATATCATAAGTTTTAAACTAGTATTAAATCTACATTACGTTGGTATTTACATCAATCAACACGGTGAAAATTATATGTATTTAAATACTGCATGGTGTTAAATCCATCACATCATTATTTTTAGAGTGTAGATCTAGATTAAACATATATTTAAAAAAAAAACTGAGAAATTCTACGGACGATTTAATAACCCTTGTTCGATAGTAACAAATCTTGCGATAGAAGACGATTTGACTGCAAGATTGATTGCATATAATTTCACAAAAGTTACACAACGCGTAGGGTTACTGCGAGTTATAATTAAAAGACTAAAACATTTAATTTGTCAGGTAGTATACAAATATCATAGTGTTTGACGTCGGACACCAATATATGTAGTGAATGAAATTACAGGCTGCAAAAAACCAGGAAGAAATTATCGTACGATTGTTACTTAGGAAACAGATTGGATGCATTGTATGATTCTTAAATTACTATTACACGTTTTGTTTACCGTCATGCTTTTCGCTTACAACCGCACACTTATACAAAGTTATAAATTGCACATTTTTTTCTCGGAATTCTAAAATAATTTTGAATCCTCTCAAGCTTGTGCCCTTTTAGAATTTTTTTTGCCTGCGATAAATAGTTTTTGCGTGCGAGATACTAATTATTTTACATATCATACAGTATATAGAAACTCACGATCAGATCTATGAGAAAAAACGTTTTGAAATACTTTCGGAAAATATTTTCGAAAACACGTATACGATTATGATTGACAAAATTTGCTCTGAATCTGATATCTTAGTTAATTTCCTGATTATTTTGATACGATATATTCATGTAATTTGCTGATAGCTAATTTTTATCTTTCATAGTTAATTATTATCTCCCACTTCGTCGTCAGGATCTGCATAAATTCTCGATGATTCAGCGCGGTCGCGCACTTAGTAATCTTAGATAGACGAATAAACATTTTTCGATTAAATCCATATCAATTGTGTTAAATACGAGAAATGGCAAAAAAAAGTTTAGTTCTTATCTGTGCCTCTATAATTCTCTCGCAGCTCGTTATTGTGAGTTGTAATGAAGAAGTGAGTATGAATATGAGTTTAAATACCTACGAGAGAGATCTTTATGATCGCCAATATAATAACTTTATATAGGATATAGATTGGACTACTGTTCACGATGAGTTAAGGAAAATGGCTGGAGGTTTACGAAAAAAATGTATCGGTGAAACCGGTGCGACAATCGGTATGTTCTCAGAATATCAGCATTTAATTAACAGCCTCAATATTTTTATATCTAACAAAAGGAGAGCCAACTAGTATATATACACACGAATTTCGCTAATTTATTTAAATATGTTTCAGTATATTTATCCTCCAATAATTCATGAGCAAGTGGTACGAAGTGATATTTAAGTATTCGCGAAAAAAGTTCATCAAAATAGGCAAAAATTGTTTATTATATAAAATATTTATTATATATAAAATATGTCCATATAGATAATATTTCTTCCCAGGAAGTTTTTGAATTCTTTATTGAATTACAAAATAATATTCACATTATAGTTGCAGGTGTTAAAAATGTGTTAAAAATAATATTATAATTATAAAACAATCAGTTTTCTACTTTCGATTTCTCGCAAATTTTTTGAAAAATTAAAGTGGGAAATAAGTACTAAAACATATTTCAAATTAGAAGAAATGTGTTTTAAATTTCCTCTTATAAAAGAAATAATCAAATCATTTGATACTTGCCAAAAATGATTTGCACTACTTTGCTGTTCTTATATCTATCGTTATGTATTAAATCATCTAATAATTTTAACGATTTTATTTACAGAGATGCTAGATGGAGCAGAATTAGGCGAATTTCCGACTCAAGACAAAGTATTGGGGTGTTACTTCAAATGTGTAATGGAAAAAGGGGGAGCGGTAAAAGAAATTTTTTTTTGTAAAAACAGACGTATAATACAATTATTAAAATTGGATCACTAAAGCTTGAACTTCTTTTGATTAGATGAAGAAGGACGGCAAAATAAACTACAAGATTTTATCCAAGTTGATGCCGCCGGCATACAAACATATTGGAATGGAAATGCTCGACCAGTGTCGTAATATAGGCAAGTATTGGGTCGTCCGGAAAGTCCGTGCGTATTTTCCGGACGACCCAATATTAATTTGTTGAAATAAATTACGTCGTCTAATTAGAAAAATATAAAAAAATATAAAAAAAACAAAAATGCAACTATTGTTCGGAACGATTATTATATTATTAATAAAGCAATATTATAAATAATAATCTTTGCACGTGAAACGTAATTAATGAAAATTATTTTCATTTCACAATGCGTTTTATACGTGATTGTCTACGACTTTTTCAGAGGGTACTGACAAGTGCGTCATAGCCATAAACTTTAACAAATGCATGTACAACGCAAATCCTGTGGTATGTATATTGTGTAATGATTAATATCCCCGATACAATGATTCTAATGCATCATGTTATACATGTCTTATTGCATTTTTTCCAGGCGTACTTCGTTATCTAAATATAGAGTAGGTAGATGTGTATATTTGAGCTCGGCGCGCGCGCGCACGCATAATATATATATTTCACAAAATAAAATACTTTAAACATTCATCCTCTACTTTTTAAATTAAATCCTCTACTTCTCGTTCTTACGTTAATTTATAGAATAAAATAAAACGTATATTTGAAAGAGTAAAAATTACATAATTATTTGCAAGAACATTTTTTTATATATAACAATTCCATGAATATAACAACAGCAATTTTTATATGTACATCTTATTTTATATAATTTAACGGTTATATCACGGTTTATTGATATATAGGATGCATCATAGCTTACGTCTGTATGTATCTTACATTAAACTATTACAATGATAAAGTTTCTTGATATACATACAAACAATTCATGTATATTATATACATTTTTGATCGAACACAATTCTCTCATTAATATTGTTCATACGTATAAATATTAACAAATCTAAATACACGCTAAGTGTATCAAGACAGTCTCTTTATTTTTGATACGTACGACTGTCGTGATAGATATTGCGTATAAATTACAGAGAATTAATTAGACGTATAAAATAACAAACGATGTAAAATCTTTACATCTTCGATAATCTCTTGAGATCATTATAAACGAGTCTCACTGTATAAATGATGATAGTGCTAACGACGGCAATACGGTCTATGCTTTCCGCGGCTTCGTCTTCCTCTTGTTAATATTCATTATTTGCTCGACTATGATATCATCCGCTCTGGGATCGATGGGAATGGCTTGGACAGGCGTTCTAGAGCTCGGCACTGGCTTGGAACGTCTCTCCAGTAGCGCGTTTAACCAGACCCACAATTTTTCACGATTAACGAACGCCAATGCGACTATCATGATGAATGGCAGCGCGATCACCGATGTCTGATTCATCTCACCCTGATCGACTTTACGTTCCGCGTTGAACGCCAACTTGACGTATTTAAATGACGAGTTCGCCTCGAAGTAGACCGGAATAGTGCGGTACTTGTGCACGGCCTGAGACAGCGATGATTCCAATTGGACGAAATACTTCCTGCCATCAGCTTGTAACGGTGGAAAATGCACCAAGAAACCGGCGTTATAAGTGCCAGTATTCTTGCTGGTGGATTGCTGTACGTCCAACTTGGAGATGTGCACCGGAGAATCGGGAGCGTCCTCTCGGCACAATTTCACCTTGATCGTACGATAGTGTTCCGGTTGGGCGGATGTGACATGCACCGAGACGTCCGTGCGCGAGATCGGATGAAAGGCGATCAATCGCAAATCGTGGATGTCCTGCACTGGCTGCACCAGCTGAGAACTGGGGCTCGTGCGCTGTATATGAGCGTTGCTCTCTACGTTCGGCTTTAAACGGAAGGCGTAGATGCACTATAAAATTAATAAATTGTTATAAATAAAAATTAGATCGATAAGATGTAAAATCATTTTGTATTATTGCGCAAATTATATCATTAATATAAATATTAATATAATATTCACCGTAGGCTGGAGACCGCGGATCCTGAAGTTACCATTCTCTTCAGTCGTGGCCTCTTCTTGAAGACTGGAGCAGTTTCCTTGGCCTTGAACTTCGACCAACAAGCCGACTTCCGGTTCTCCATTCAAAGACGTGATGGAACCATAAGCGCTATAGGCAACTCTATTACCGAATAGATTTACATTGATGGTCGCCCCTTCCACGACGTTAATCATCTTTGATGGCGGATCAAAACGATATTCCTTCATCATAGGTCGTAGATAATATTCACCCGGTGACAACGAATTAAATATAAATTTTCCGTCTTCACCAGTTATGCTGTTCTTGCGGTAACTTTGACCGCCAGACAAAGAAAGGAGTACACCCTGAAAAATAATACAATATTATATTTCTTTTATTTTTTCTGTTAGTGTTTTACTGATAAAGTTACCTGCAACGAAGAACCATCAGCGTGATCAGAAACTTGCACAATAATTTCGGCCAATTTATGCGCCAAGAACACTCCTTTAGCATCAGGTCCTGTGATTACAAAGCCCTCCTTTTCAGCTGTAACACTACAAGCAAACATTTATCAATTTTACAATAATTGATTGTTATAATAATAATAAATTATTGCCAATATACCTATATTCAATTTTTCCATCCAAAGGTCCAATGCTGTAAATCCCGTCTTTTTGTGTAACTAAAGTATGAATTGGAGACTCGTCATTTTTCCCAGTTATTCGTATAATTACACCTTCCAACGGTGGAGAAATCTGTCCGGCTATAATCTAAATAACATTCTCGTTTAAGCTGTGAATTCTATATGTTAAATATAATAATAGTTATGTACCTTTCCCAAATCACCGGCAAAACTTGCAATGTCATTATGACAGTCATTCACGCCGAAAACTTTCAGAGACGGTGGATTGAAAAGCAGAATGTCTGATAACGGAGTGATAGTATACATATTATCTGTTTTCGCCTTAAATTCAAATTCATACTTGTATACACCATCTTTTTTTACATATTTCAGTGGACCAATCCTATCAAAAAATATATTAATAAACAAAGATGTATCTATACATTTTATATATCTCAAAGAAATTAATAAAAATATTAATATTATTCGAATACAAATGTAAAAAAAATATATACAACATTTTTCTCAAAATGTACAATGCAACTTACGTGACACTGTCATTTGCGTCTTCAATTTTTACTTTAAGATCGTTTTGCATGCTTAAACTTATAATACTGCCTTTATGAGTGTGTTCAGTGGAATGCACTAAGATCGGGGATAAATTGCTCGTATCCCAAATGTAGGAAGAATTTTCATATATATGGCAACCTTTCGGAGTAAAAGTGTATGTTCCAGATTTAGGCACACAATGCCTCATGCTTCCTTTATTTAGAGGTAGAGTTATTAGTTTCGTGTTATTAGGCTCGAAATACTCCACAATTGTATCGTGAGACGATATGAAGGTGATGGAGAAGCCGGTTTGCTTGAATGGTGGTACTTCGGCGCGTTCCGACGTTATCGAGATTCTATAACTGGGATTTTCCCAGCAAAACACGTCGTTATCGATGAAAATCTCGTAATGGCCAGGTAGAACGTCCGTGAACTGATACTGGCCATCTAAGTAATGAAAAACGACTTCACAGACAGAGGAGATAGTATCGTATCGAATTAAATAGACATTACTGCAATAACAAATAGATACGAAGTATTTTACATCGGTTGCTTGAAATCAAATTAACTTTCAAACTTACTGCAAACACAAGATTTAGAAAATCGAAAAATCCTTTTTATTTTACAAGACCATATTTGTTATTGCAGCTCAAATTATACTAAACCACTAAAAATATTTTATAATAACATTGATTAGTGTTTATGTCAGCACACCTTTAGCTTGTACAGTCTTTATCGTGACTCCATCGAGTATTTTCAAAGTAACAGAAGCTTGGCTGCAATCAGTCCCTGGCAAACAATGCACTGTTCCCGTTAACGTGGCTTTTAGTTGTAAGAAGTTGACATTAGTAATTGGTTGAGACGTCACATCAATTGTTTGTTGTAGTGGATAGAATCTAGAAATATGATAAAATTTTTATAATTTGTAACTACTTTGTGTATATGTATAATTTTATAAAACTTTACATTTACTCTGATTTATTTTTACATTCGTTACTTACTGTAAACCTTTAGTTTTCTCTTCCGTGCTCACAATTACACTCAATTGATATTTATCCGGTGCAAGATATACAGAGTACTTTCCCGTGTTCTCATTGGTGTCGAGCTCCTTATAGAACGTAGCAGCTGTGTTCTGAATGGATATTCGGCGGAAATGCAGTGTCCCCTTCGCTGACAAAGTTACTTTTCCTGAAACTTTGTATGCTGAAGGTACCAGCACAGGAAGTTCAGGCGAGATGGGAGATATTTTGACTGTCCTCTCACTAAATTGTACATTTTCTGGAACAAATAGTTGTATAAATAATTCCAAAGAAGTTAGTAAACGATTTAATTTAAAAGAAATCTTGTAAATTTCTCATACCAGATTCTGCTTTAAGTGTATATTGGCCGGCTTTCATGTTATCTAATACATATTTTCCATTTTTATCTGTGACTGCAACTTCTTTATGTGACAAGAATATCTTTGCTCCTTGCAATGGATTTCCATTCGTGGCGCTACGTACTAAACCGCCGACCGTAAAGCCGGTTACTTTAAAGTCTGGAGTAAGAATTACGCTGTTGTGGCTAACTTTGAAAGACAATTCCGATGGCTGAACGTCGAATTTCGTCTGGGCACCGGCATAGTGAGGTATAAGCTTATAATCGCCAGGCGATAGACTGGGAAATATAAATCTACCGGTATTGTCCGAAGTCACGTGGCAAAGTGGTTTCTTGGATTCAAAGTTTTTATTCACGGGAGTGGTTTCACATTTCTTGGCAATACCATTCTGTAAGATATACAAAATTATTCATTCTATAAAAATTTTTATTAAAAAATACTTTAGAATTTTGAAAAATATCAATAATACTTTGATTGCCATGTGGATTTTTATAATCGGTCCTCTGGCGCCATACTATTTTTTATATAACTTCAGTAAATTTTTTTTAATATTAAAATATTTTTAAATAAACGTTTTCAGTAAAGTTGATAGACTTCTCTAGAAAATTCACAATATATTATATAAAATCAGTGCAAAATATTCTTTGTTCATGATGGTAATGGATACCAAATGTGTTCAATAAAAAAATAATAAAATTCAATAATAAAATTGAAGTACAGCAGCGCCCTGAACTCATGTAAATGTGTTCCATCCAACTGGATACGCATGGCAATCAAAGTATTAAAGTATACTGGTAATACGAAAATAATAAAATAAACCTTACACCGAAAAGAATAAAGGACACACCAGCCACTGGCTCATTTTCACTAGTAACTTTGCCACTAACATCATATCCTGATACTACCAAGCTGCCATCTGCGAGTTCTGTGTTTCCCTCTTGTACAGTTACTTCAATTTTATTTTCTTTTATTAGCCATCTAAAAAAGACAATTATTATTGATGTCATCATAATTTGTATCTTTTGTATCATAAAATAAATTCATCAGATATCAGACTGTACACTTACTTGGAGTGATGCACAATGAGAGTGTACTTTCCAGGCTGAATGGGAGTAAAGTAAAATATGCCACCCTCTGCTGTTGACATCGATTTAATAGGATTTTGTTTATTGCTGTCTGTATATAAAGAGATAGTAATTCCTTTAGGACCAGAGTCAGTACCTAAACTAATCACCTGAAAACAATTCATGTTAATTAAATAACATTGAAAATATATATTAAAAATTCTATTGTTAACAATTATTAGAATTAAATCATAATAATCTTTAAATATTTTCATGTATAATACTCATAATAAGAGAAAATTTATTACTCACACGACCTGTAATACCAAATCCTTTGAATGTAAAGTTAATATCTTTTGCTTGGCTGCAGTCATCCGTAACACCATCTACGTTTAATATTACCTCTGTGGGCTCAAAACTCCAGCCTCTGGGAGGTTCTATCTAATATATTAAATATTAATTTCACAATATTTTATAAACTTTTCAACAATGCTAATTAATAAAAGCTAATAATTTTACAAATGTTATATATTAATAAACGACGTTATTATTAAATCTTAATAAACAATTCCATTCAAAACAAGTAAATAAATTTACACTTTCATATTAACACATAATAAACAAATTTTATAAAATTTCTTATATATCAAGTGTCATTTATTATTTAATTACTGGCAATGATGGTGCATCTTTCCAGCTCACCTTTAAAATGTATTCGCCTTTATCGTATAGAGGTAGAAAATAGTAACCAGTGTTAGGCGCGCCTTCGGTTTGATCCTTTAGACTACCAGTCTTCGTGTACCTGATAAATTTATCTCATAAAACTCTGACATTCAGTTAACATTTATTAGGATGTAACTCTCTCTCTCTCTCTCTGGTGTAGCAATCAGATATTGAAACATACACATAAATACTCACACTTTCACATGCACTTTTCTGAAATCGATGTCGGTATGACTTTTTAGGAAGCCGCCGCATCCCAGGACATCTTGGGTGATAGAACCAGCGATGAGACTCGCCAGGCAAGCGAAGAAAATAAGACATCGTTCAATCAAATCCATATCACTCGTCACTGCTGTCCAGCGTCTGCTAAGCTGTCTAAAGGTGCCATTAGGCTGCATTTGCATGCAGACGCTCGATCTCATTTTCAGCGTCACGTGATCACAATTAATGCTTGGTATTCGTCAATTTTGATCACGTGACCTGTTTTAACGCTGAAAATAAGCGTCGAGCGTCTGCATGAAAAAGCAGCCTTAATCGAAGTTTAATTTATCCATTGTCTCTTTCCAATTTTTGAGTTTAATGTTTACATTTTGTGGACATATAGGCGTTTCGAAATAAAGTAACAGTTAAATCCTGGGCTGCTCTCTGGCTTCTCTCTGGTGGTTTCTACTGTGGTTTGGACTAGAGATTATATGAACAACTAATGTTGAGTACTTAGAATTAAGTTTAGATACTTAATACGAAAGATTAGTTAGGAAATCTGTGTACGTATGTGTGAGTGCGATATTGATGTAGTATATAAAGATATATCAATGTGTCATATTTTATCGGTAAAACAGCAATCTCATCGGAGTACGGGCTTCAATCTACTGTCAGTAGATCGGAGCATTCGGAATTTCGGAGCATAGTGGAATAAATCCACCATGGCGCCGTTGGTGAAATCACGGTGCGCGTGCGCGCGCGAATTCCTCCGGTAAATATCGGCTTTTCAATATTCAGTCATTCAGTCCGGAGTTTCTGGCCGTATCGACCTCCTGTTTCAATTTCTAGAGGCGTTAAGTAAAGAAGTCTCGAGTTTCAGACCGGCTCGTCTCCGGATTCTGTGCGAGTGGCAACGAAGTGTGTGGATACGTATTTATTTCCGAAGGGTAATGTTGTTCTTTTGTGATTATTCAATACGTTCGCTGTAATTCTAATGTTATTTTAAAATGCATTTTAATTAGGGAGACGATAATACGATTACTGGGAATTTCATTTAAAACTGATCGATTTGTTTACCTGCTGCTGTCTGCTGTGAATCCGCTAATCGAATATTCGCAGGTGATAAACTCACCATTTGTAAATGCAATAACGCGCAATACCGCATAAGAATTTTTTTGTAAACTTGTACGAGCTGACAGTTATTTAATCTCATCAAGGAAGTGTCTCTTAAGTAAGGGGATCAATTTGAAGGTTCATGCTTTAATAAACCTGTTTTATAGACCTGTTCTTTTTACTGTAAAGACCGTTACTTTTGACAATTTCAAAGATTTGAAGCTTTGAAAGAATTTTTGAAGTTAACAACAAGATAAACATCCCAGTAGACATATATCTATGTCTGGATATTTACACAAATATTTATTTATTTATATGATTATTAATCTCAAATGCTTTTTAAAATAATTATTTAATACAATTAAATTATAATATTGTAACAGAAAAACTGTTATGTTACAGTTATGTTGTTCAAAAAATTATATTAATAGTTACTATATGATGGTGCTTACTCAGTTATTGCATATTGCATATGAAAATGTGTAGTATACTTAATAATGTATATATACACTACAGAATATTCATATGCAATATTTTTCAAGAATTAGAATCTTAGGAAGCCTGAATACAAACATTTGCTTTTTGCATATGCGTAGCTGCTACTAATTGATGGACTATTTCCTACAGAAAGGATACTGGTATCCCACGATTGAAAATGGTGAAAGTAGCGCTATGGATTACATGCAGACTCGACAACATTGAGGAACTGAAGCCGTCGGGGCCTGAGTTCAGATGGTGCCTCAAGTTTATTTGTTGTAACTGCAGCAATAAATCAGAGAAGTGGAACTATATTTCCCTGGACGAGTCGGTGCCGTTGCAACGGGGCAGCGGGGTGTCCAATTTTGTATGCAAGTGCAAGTTCTGTCAACGAGAGAACTCTGTGACGATAATCGAGGATTCAATTAAGTCCTTCACCGAGGACGACCAGGGAAAATTTAAGAGTATCGTTGTGTTTGACTGCCGGGGTATGGAACCAGATAACTTCTCCGCGGGGGAAGGATGGATAGCAAAGGCTGTGAATGGTGGCAAGGAATTCACCGATGTGGATTTGAGCGAGGGCGAATGGGAGGACTATTGCGACAAGATTATGGAACCTGTTGGAATATACGAGTTTCAGCATATGTTCCAGAAGGTTAAGTGAAATCGTGTTTGGAAGATATACCTACCTGCCGTGCATTTTAGTCATCAAAATTTTATAACAGATAACGGATTTTCCTGCTAGTTAACGAAAAAGCAACACGTGTCTGTTACGTGTAAATATGTAAAGATATGCATTACAGTTTTTCATGTCTCTTTCACTTCTTGTGCACAGATTGTTAATATATAAAATGATATAAAACTATACAGGATTGTTAGATTTCTTATCAAAAGGATAATTTAACTCAGATTTCATTCATCATATAATAGTTAATAATAATTTTGTTAGACCTCATAAAAAAATATCTTACTTAGACTTAAAGTTTAAGAGAATATTGTTACACACACGTACGTACGACAAATGTCATCATGTTTGTGTAAAGAAGCACAACTTGCTATATGATAAGAATTACTGCTTTCTAATAAACGTATAGTCGTTTTGTAATTTTGAATATCTCTTCTTTGTATAGAAATGTTCTCCGGCGATGGGGTAATATGTTTGCGCGCACAAAAATGTTTTCGAGATCCTCTCTCGTCAAGGCAAAGAGTAAAAGCAGTACCAATCCAACGACATAATATAATTTATTCATAATCATATAAAAAACCATTTTATTTCATAAATGGCTTGGTACACAAGAGATGTCGTTTGCAACAATAATTCCACTTTGCCTCCTAGCACGTTCGGAGTTGCCGAATCCATACCCTGCGTGAATAATCGAGTGACTAGTGTCGTTTTGCGGCAAGGGCGATGCTCGGAAAAGCCATGAGGCTCACCGATTCGCGAATCGATTCGGACAACTTGCCTCTCCTCCATCACCGTGACGCAAACTGCATTCTTGGAATGTCGATGCGATCGCATAAAAATCATCGAACTTATGACAACGACGCACTAATCCCCTTACGATTATAAAAAATTAAAATATTCCTTGATTAAAAAATTATGTTATATACAGTGTCTTCATTTTTTTTTCATGTATAAAACTCTCGAACAACTTTCCACTTAACGATACTCGGCGTATCGCGCAAAGACTTTCGCTTACGATCGGAGTAACTCTCGCAGTTCTGTCTCCACAATAAGCTAAATCACGAAAAAATCACGATGAATCACGAATCAAAAAGAAATCATAGAGACAATATTTATGACAATAAATCACAAATTCAAAAGAAACGAAGAGAGGAAGAAACAAATGTGTAACTTCGTTTACTTGACGATTGCCTAATGCACTAATGCTACGCTATATTTGTCTAATGCTTTCGTTTACTATGCTTCCTAATATCTAACACAAATAAATATATCGCGTGCGCATTACAATCCGCCGTTCTCGCAGAATCTTTAACGTATATTGAATCACATGTAAGTAACCGCTAAAAATTTTTAATTTAACAATCGATAACGCTATCAGTCTATTCTCACAAAAATATCACTATGACCGAACATACCGTGTCGATGATACAACCAGAGTCCAAAATTGTGAAATCGACTGAAAAATTCAATAAATAAAATAAATAACACAAACTTTCAGAATCTTCAAAATAAATATACTCTTTAAAAAATAAGGATATTAACTACGTGTCTTTTTAAATCGCTTAAAAATGTAACTTAGAAAACCACATAAATTTCTTACTGGAATGAAATACACTTGACTCTGGCTCACATGGAAGATTTGTAATTCGCTTGACGTAACTCGAACAATTATCCTACTAGCAAATTGAGGTTTCTAAAAACGTTTTAACCATGATCCTCTAATATTACGAATATGCATCGCTGTGCGCTTTTTGATCGGTTAAACGGCTCTAGTCTACTATCTAGCTAAGCTATCGTCTTTGGTATACTAATCTGGGGGATGCTTACTTTATCCAGAGAAACAGAGATGATTGTTCACGGGGAAAGATCTCGTTTTCGAGTATACGAATATCGCATGGAAATAGGAACATTACGAGTAATATGTAAGCTAGCTGGTTATGGCGTTCCCATTATGTCTCACGGCGAGGAATGATTATCAGCAGTCCTCTGTGTGAAAAATAAGTGGCGCTTGCAGATAAAGAATCGGATGCGAATGCGAGAAGCAAAATTATAGCTTTCTTCACTGGAAATGGAAAGCTCTGTTGCAACTGCCTCTTGCATCGCGTCCAATTCATTTCGCAGTGGAAAAGGTGTACATGCCATAAACATCATATTCTGCAACAGATCAAGTTGGAGGAATCGAGACTGCTGGAGAAGGCAAAAGCCGTGATACCTTTATCTGATGTTAACTTTTTCATCTCTATTATAATCTGCATTATTACATGCCTACACGGCTTGTCTATCTGCTTAGTTTATTTAACTGTTTGGGCCTCAATTTTTTATTTTTCGCAAAGTACTTATAAAAATTAGTTATATCCATAAAAGTGATTAGATATATATCTTGCTCAAGGAGCTTACATGTAAGAGGTTTTATTTGTCTCAGTAAGACTCAAACAGTCAATAAAATATTTTTTTTAACATCATCAGTCATCAAAGATCATCGTCATCAAAAATCTCTCAAATATGAACTGGCAACGATTCCTTTACCTAATAAGACTAAGTGTCTTGCTCGAAATAGTAAGAGGTATCATCATGATTCTCTTTCTTCGGTTTTTTTTTCTTGAGATTTTTTTGTAGCCGCCGTACTGGTGTCACGAGAAGTAGGAATATTCGTAGGACATTCGAATATTCACATCGAGAACACTTGGAATTCGTACGAAGCCAATGATTACTGATTATTTTTTAAATCAAAACTGTTCTGTTTTACTTCAATATCTTTGAGAAATTTTATGATATCGTATATAATAGCGTTGATAGCGTGATTACAACTGTGTCAATCAGCATTATCCTTCTCCAATCCATCTCGATACTGGGCCGTATTCCTTGGGCACATATCATTTAATAGCTTTCTAATGTCTAAATCGATTATATACGTTTTGAATCGCCTATCTGCTAATGTATTCGGCTAAATTTGTGATTTTCTAAATCCGTTAGATGGATATATGCTAAATATCTATGCTTTTTGATACTGTTATACTCATTCGCATGACTTACTTTTGACATTTCTTTCTAGGACTTTTCACTATGTTTCCTTGTTTCTTCTAAAGCATCTCAAAGACAGACACCCGTGAATAGGCCCGTTAAATGTTGAATAGTCTAATTGTAAGCACAGTCCTAGAACGCTAACGGGGACTCTGTCAAGGGCCTAGTACAATCTCAACCTAGTGCGTATTATCTCTTTCTTCTTGTTTCCTATTGTAAATTCCGTATATAATATACTAATGATCGATAATATTACACTTTGCACTATGTATATTTGAAAAAATGTTAAATATAGTAATATTTAATATAGTAATAATGATTAATAATTAATAATATTAATTATTCTATTATAATTATTTGATAATGATATATCGATTATTAATAATTCCACGTTAGCGTTTTAGGACTAATCTATTGTAATTCGACGATCTGCAAGAATTTCTCGTCTGCCGTCATTTCGGAAAGAAATTTCAGAGCGAGCATCGCGATGAGATATGAGATTCTAGCTAGTAAAAAGGCTAATCTATAGTAATAAATGAAAGTTGGCCTACTCGCGCGAAATTGCAAACTAAAAACGATGAAAAAAAAAAAAAGGTTCGTGAGAAACGTTAATTATTGCGCGAAACGAACAATAGAGCGGAACAATGCCCAGCGAGGATATGCGACACACTCAATTTCAATTCTCTCTCCCTTTCTCTCCCACTTTCGCTCTCTTTCTCTCATATCACGTAGATGGACAGAAAAATAGAGATTTTACGTGCGTGTTCGCACTCAGCCGACCCTGATATCGTCGAGCCCGAGATCGCGTCATCGTAATTCGGTATTCGGTGCGCATGGAATAAACGCTGCGCTTAATCAATACTTCTCGCAGCGCGCGGCAGCTCGACCAATCGCGGATTCGCCGAGAACAGGACTGGTAACTTCGATCTTGTCTGTCCGGCGAGCCTGTTCCCCTCGCGAGGAACAGGGCGATGTCGTAGACGCCCTTAGTCGTGATCGTGCGGCACAATAGGCCGGAAACGAGTCAGCCGGTCGGATTCAAGGTAGCTCGTCGGTCAACAGGCTCGTCGGTTCCAAGCAAGTTTGCTTCAGGGTGGCCGACTGATCTTCGAGGCTGCGCTTCAAGCCTTCGATTGTCTGCATCAGCATCTGTCGTCGTAGCTGGGATAGCTGGTGTTGAAAGAACTGCGAGTCCTGAATGTTGTTCGCGTTTGCCTCGGCGGCTAATCGCTCCTGCCGCAATTGCGCTACCTTTTCCTTCAGAGATCTCCTCGAGTCATCTGTGTACAAAATAATATTAACAGATGAATAGCGAATGCGAGATTCAATGAAATCAGTGCAATCAAGACGCTCTGTTAAAATTAGAATGAAACAGTCAACGCGATTTTAAAATAAAATTTAAAAAATTGTATAATATACACAGGATATTAAATATTAAATATTTTACTAAACCATATAATTAATCATTGAGAGATACAAATTATATGTATTAAAATATATCTTATATGTTTGTGCCATTGAGTTTGACACAGCTAGTATTATCAAAGAAAGAAATTCTTGCGTTTTATAAAAGAAGCAGATATAAAAGAAACACACCAGTATCATCGGTTGCTGTATCACCGTCAGAATTTCTCAGCATAACATGTTCGCCCAATGTCTTTTGTATTCTGCCATATGTCGCGCTTCCGGCATATACTTTTCTTTTCACTGGTTCGCTTTGCGGGCAGTAGGAAGAACTTTCCTTGATGGGACCCATATCGATTGATCTAAAGATGTTTTTCTGTTATAAATGTTCAACGACTGCACATTCAGTATCGACATTAAATTGGTATTATAATATTATAATTGTCATTAATATCGAATGCAAACTTCCTATACATTAATTTTAAGTCGGTTCTCCTGATAAATATTATACATATAATACAAATATAAATAATTAATAATATGTACATAACAAAGACAAAAGTTACTTTCTTAAATCAATTTCTGAAGGAATAATAAAATATTTTTAATATAAAGAGATTAATATTTCTAATTTTGCATTAAATTGCAATCTAGAAATTATGCAAGATTTTTTTCTATTAAGTAGTTATCACAACCTGAACGTCATCAATGGAGCCCTCCGTCTCACGTCACACTTTTCTTCGGAATCAGACGAGCTGGACGTTACTCCTTCCTCTTTTGTCGTTTCTCTTGCAGAGCGAAATTCCTTTCTACCTCCTCCGAGAGAGCCTTGCATCATCCCGTTCGCGTGTATCTTCTCCCCAAGAGAATTGTTCGTATTCATGGTTTCTGGTTTCATCCCACCGTTACAATTCAAAGCGATCCAAGATGATCTGTTGCCATCCTTGCTTTCTGGCTCGCCGTTACGCGCCCGATACATCTGCTGGTTCATCAAACTCCTGCTGGGCGAGCTCTGGGGTGTCGTTCTGCGCGTCATCGCCGGCGAGTCCGGGCACTTGGACAGCTCGTGCTGCCGAAAGACAGGCGGAGGCTCTTTCGGCGCGAAATTGGCTGGCGAATTTCTCTCCATAAATCGATGAATTGGAGAACACGGCTGAGCGAACTGTCGTTTGGGACTAGTATGCTCCAGATCACGAATACTGCCGCTCTGTAATTCCGGCTGGGAATTACGGCTCTTGGACAGCGCCAGTTCAATATTCAGCTCCGTGTTCTTGATGAGTTCGACGCGTTTGTTCGCCAGACCGTTATGCAGTTTACGCGACGGCGATGGCACACACGGCGAAGGACTCTGGTACTTTTGCATGCTCACCAGTATATTCTCCGCCTCCAGGATAAGCTCGCGATATTTGCGATCGGCCTCCTTGTCTGCCTCAATCAGCGCGATCTCCGACGCGAATGTGGTCATGTACGTGTTGCCGGTCACGTGGCGTCGCACTATGTTGCCGTTCACGTAACTTATCTTGAAGAGAAACAAAGTAATAGTATAATTTAAGTTTTTACTACGAATATAACTAATGTCATCTCAAAAACTGGAGATAAAAACAAGAATAAAAAGATTCTAATAAAATAATTAATTAATTTGCTATAATAACGACCCGACTTAAAAACTATGTTTTCTAAAAAATAAATTTAAATATTTTGAATCATAAAAATTTTGCAATATCAATTTTGAAATATGATTTTAATGTAATAATTGATTATAAAGGAATAAAAGTTTGTATTTTTAAAGTGAATATTTTCTTTATTCTTTATGCACCCATTTTTTTATAAGTAACTAAAAAAATAACAATTCTAACTAAACAATTTTTTAGTTTACTTGTGACATCGAATAGCTTAGAATCTTACCGAGTTTGACCGTCTTTTCACGATCTCGTTCTCCATCACGGCGGGTCTGATGGCCGATGGATTGCCATTCAGTCTCATCGGGGAGAGATTTTTATTCACGTCGTGCTTCCTGCGTCGCAAGCACATCGGCGTGCCGCCCACGCTCCTGCTGCCCTGATTGAATCCTGAATTTTTCAGGAG